CTATGTAACAAGACTCTGTCTCTCTCACTCCATCCCCATGCATGAAGATCTGGGCTCCATCCCTAGCACCACAGGTCATGAGGCAGATGGGATCAAAAGTAAGAGAAGGAGGAAATAGAAGACTAAGCAATTTTCAAAGAAATGAGGGTCATTTACCTTACAATTCTGAGTAGCAGAAAGTCCAAGATCAGCATCTTAGCTTCTGGAGGGAAAAAGTCAGTAGTATGGAAGTAGAGAGAGACTGAGAAGTGGAATTAAGGGAGGTGCCAGATTTGCCTCATAACAACCTACAGCCTGTACTTGTAGTGACTGACAAAGTGCTTCTAGATGTAATTCACTGCAATGAGATCACATCACCTCCTAAAGGCTCCAACATCTCTCAGTAACATTACGTTGAGAATAAAATTCCAGCATGAGTTTTGAAAGATAAAAATCATATCCAAAACACAGAAGGTAATAGTACTATATTCCCCAGTTTTCAGATGAGGCACAGAAGACAGTTTGTATAATTCACACAGAGTCTGCATTAGAAATAAGCATGATGCTGGGCAATGGTGGTTCATACCTTTAATCCAAGCACTCGGGAGGCAGAGGCAGGTGGATCTCTGTGAGTTCAAGGCCACCATGGTCTACAGAGCAAGTTCCAAGGCAGCTAGGGCTGTTACACAGAGAAATCCTATCTCCAAAAACAAACCAAGAAGAGAGGGAGAGAGAGAGACAGAGAAAGAGAGAGAGAGAGAGAGAGAGAGAGAGAGAGAGAGAGAGAGAGAGAGAGAGAGAGAGAGAGAGAGAAACAAAGACAGACAGGAAATAGAGTGGGTTTCTCCAAAATCAGTGGACTCAGCCACTCTGCTCAAGAATCGCCTGTAAAAGCCATTCTTCTTGGTCAAGTCACCCTTACAAGTCCTTCTTGATCATGAAGGGGAGTAGGTAAGATTGTTTCTCCTGGTGTTGAGTCCTGAACAGCTCCATGACATGGGACTAGAAAATGAACGAAAGATGCTTACCAAATCAGGAGAAACCAAAGAGGAAGAAGAGGAGGAAGAATCAGTGGACCCCTTAACAACAGTGAGAGAGCAATGTGAGCAGTTGGAGAAGTGTGTAAAGGCCCAGGAGCAGCTAGAGCTTTGTGATAAGTGTGTATCTTCCTGATCACAGACAGAAAAGGATTGAACAGAGGAGCTCTTTGACATCTTGCATGCATTTGACCACTGTGTGGCCCACAAACTCTTTAATAGGCTGAAGTAGCTGCACAGATTCATCTACCTAAGCCTTGTCACAGAGCATCAGGAAAAGTTCCTTGTGGTTTTGAACCATTAATTTCTAATGTGTATCGTAAGTTCTGGAGAACCTCAATGATTATGGCAACTAGTTTGTCTTCCATGTAATTAGCAGCAATTCCATCTTAATAAACTGATCTGCAGATCTGCAGGAAAAAAAGTCATTCTTCTCAAAGCAGCTGTTATTTTATCATGGAAGGCAAAGGGTAAATCGTAGATCTGCAAGTATTGAAAAGAAATCTTTGTGTACTTCATAAATTCTAAAAAATAAAAAAGCAATGGCCCCTTATGTATAGTTCACTATACAATTATGCATTAGACTAGGCACAAATATTTTATGGTGTTTCCTATATATACATTATATTTACTAAAAGGCAAGTAAGTGGACAAGTTATTCAAGGATGACCTTGAACTCCCTGTCCTCCTGCTTCCACTTCCCAAAATGCTGGGAGTACCGGTATATGCTACCACACCTGGTTTGTATTCCTCAGCTATATATCAAGCCCAAGGCCAGTCTCAACTTATGAGACCGTGTTTCAAACAACAACAAACAAAAACCAGAACTATTAAATTGGTTGTTTTAATATTTCCTTTGTTTCTGATAATTTATTGGAAAACATTCTTTAAATAGTTATGGTTATATAAAATTGAATTTAAAGTTTAGTTCCATTAAAATGATTTCAAAAGTACATTATATGAACTTGGGAATTTATTAATAGAGTAACTAAGCTAGGTGCAGTAGCACATGCCTGTAACTGTGGCACTCAAGAGATCAGGTGGGACTGTGAGTTTGAAGTCACCCTAAATATGTAATGAGACCCTTTCTAAAAACTAAATCAAACCAGACCAAAAACCAAAGAGAGAGAGAGAGTATCACACATAAAATTTTAAAAAAATGTAAATTTCCCAGGCAAACTATAAAATTTGGCAATCTAAATTAATGTCTGTAGAGCAAACAATAGTATTCATTAAACATTTCATCAGCTCACCTGGGTTTTCCGATTCCTCTTGGAGTTAAGTGGTGCCCTTATGTGCATGGAAATTGGAAGGACAACTTGCTGGAGTAGGTTCTTTTCTTCCATCAGGTGGATCCTAGGGACCTAACTCAAGAGTGTGAAGCTCAGCAGCAAGCACCCTTCCCCACTGATCTATTTTGTTATTGATTTTGAATGCGTGCTAGAATACGGAAAACTTTTTACTCTATAATTGTTCTTCTTCTTCAGGCAGTCCCAAGCATTCATGGAGGAAAATCTTCCAAACAGGATGAAATTATGGTAGACTCAAGCATTCTGCCTTCCTCTAACTACTCACTCCAGAGTCCTTCTGAAGAAAGTGCTGAGAGCTGAAATGTCATTGACTATGTGGTAGCAAAAGTTCTGGAGTATTTTAAGGGACATTTTAAAATTGGTAAGCAGAGCCGGGCAGTGGTGGCCCATGCACATCCTTTAACCCCAGCACTGAGCCAGCGGCAGGCAGATCTCTGTGAGTTCAAGGCCATCCTGGTCTTCAAAGAGAGTTCCAGGACAGTCTCCAAACCTACAGAGAAACCCTGTCTGAGGAAAAAAAAAAATGGTAAGCAGAATAACTGATTAGGAAAGCTTTGTTGACAGGGTAGGTGACTCAAAAATAAATAACATGTTGATGCAATGTTTTACTCTTCTGGCTTTTTGGGGTGACCACCACCCAGTTCCCAAATAAATCTCACACAGAGGCTTATTCTTAGTTATGAATACTTGACCTTAGCTGGCTTTTCTTAAATTATCCCATCTACCTTTTTCCTCTGGGCTTTTATCTTTTTCTTCTGTAAATCTTACTTTACTTTCACTCTTACTCTGGCTGGCCCCTGAAGTCTTCCTCTCCTTGTCCTGTTTTGCTCTCCTAAAGAAGTTCCCAAGTCTCTTACCAATTCTGTTGACTTCTCCAGGCAAAGGGCAGCCGACTGCTAGCGTGGTTAAGTTCAGATGGCAGATTCTACAGAGTCAGTGGTTGAGAGCTCCAGACGGCAAATGCAGCAGAGCCAGCTGAGTGGCCCTTCCTTCTGTGTGGTTCTACCACCCATTGGAACACCAATTTGTTGTTTTTCTTTTTTAATTGTATTGCCCTTTTAAGCTATAGCTATCCTATTCAGCAACTGCCACTCTGCCGCTAACAGCAGTGGCTATGCAGCAAGAGACAAAGCCTGTGGGAATTCTGTTCCCTCAGGCACCGACTCCTTGAAAGCTACTAAGGAAACTTATTTAAAACTCTGTCCCCTCTAAAGAACTCAAGATTTAAAGGCTGAGGCAGAACCCTGCTTCCCAGAGAGGCTAAAAAGAAAGCAGCTCATCTAGCTCACCTGCTTGAGTCTCTCAAGAAGTCCTCGTGCTCATTCTCGCCCTTCCTTCTCCACCTGGCTCCTCCCTACAACTTCCTGTCACCTGGTTACTGACCCAGCTTCCTGACCACAGGTAAATTTTACGTATTCAAATACATCTTTGCATCATTAAACAAGTGATCCAGAGCATTAACAAAAGTAACACACCTTAAATTAATATTGTACAACAATAACAGAAATACAAGAATTGGGTAGGAGCTTTACGCCAATGCTAAAAAGCTGTGTAAACCAGGTAGTGGTGGCGCACGGCTTTAGTTCCAGCACTCAGGAGGTAGAGGCAGGCAGATCTCTGTGAGTTCAAGGCCAGCCTGAACTACAGAGCGAGTTCCGTGACAGGGCTGTGGCTGTGGCTGTGTGAAATGTTCCTAGAAGGACACACACACACACACACAACACACCCCTAGCACTCGGGAGGTAGAAGTTGGCAGATCTCTGTGAGTTCAAGTCTAATTTGGTTTACATATCCACTTCTAGGCCATCCAGGCCTAGTGAGAACCATAGGGATATTAGTACTTTAAAATTCTTATATTATCATTAGAGACATAAACTGGTTTTGCCTTTTATTATTTTTTCCCTAGTTTTTCTGAGACAGACCAGTGTTGCATAATCCAGGCTGACTGACCTTCAGGCATGATCCGTTATATCTAGCCTGGCTTTGACTTTCGGAAAGATATTTAACTGTGTATCCACAGTTATACAATTTCTTTTTCACATTATTCTACCTCTGGAATCAATATAAGGAATAAATATAAATTTGATGAAAGAATCAATGTAAATAATAAGTCTAAATTTAATGACAAGCCCCATTTAAGATTTACAAATTGGAAAATTACATAAAACATTGAAACTAATCAGTGTCTAAAAATAAGAACCAAGTTAGGCAGATAGTAATCAAATCCACTCAGTATTCTTTATGAAACTTAAAATTACTTGTAGAATTTGAATAAGGACCTGCCAACTGCTGTGGCCAGGTCTTTATTATGAACCATTTTGAGGTATTTTTCCACTTATTTCATAGTAAATATTTAAATACTTATTTTAAGGCACAGCCTAATGTTAAATGATCTCACATCAGGTGACAGGAGGAGAAGTGGAACTCACTACTCCACATCACACAGTGACCATTATGGCATTTGGTCCAAACAATCAAGACACAAAGGTTTTGGTAATATGACTAATCTTAAATAATTATCACATTTTAACTCTAAATTATCATTCAAAAGGAATCCTTTTAGAATGCCGCTAGCAATGTATAATTAAAGGCAATAATAATATATAAACTGCATCTCACACCTTTGCCTTCAGGGTTTTTTAAAATAATTAATTTATATTTTTGTGTGTATATGTGTAGGTGTGGAGATCATAGGAAAATTGTATGAACTGATCCTCTCGTTCCATGCAATGAGTCCATGAGTGATCAAACTCAGGCCTTCTGAGTTTTGGAGGCCCATTTTGTCACTCAGTTGACATCTTTTCTGTGCATATTGGGTTATGACCCAGGATCTAGGTACTGAGGAGGAGAAAATGAAGAATTCATTCTGGATCTTGTTCCAGAATGGTTCTTTCCAGCAGAAAGAACAATATGAGCACACGTAAGAGTGAACACACACACACACACACACACACACACACACACACACACACACACACACACACCTAGTAATGCAGGGCTGGAATTACTGAGTTCATATAAGTTGACTCTGGGAGATCTGGGTGAGAGCTGTTCACTTTCCAAGAAGGAGAAGTTCTGACCTACATATTTCCTTTCTCTCTTCCTTTCCTTTTCTCCTTACCCCTTCCCTCTTTCCATCTTTTCTTCCTTCATTTATTAAAGAAAGTAATTATCTGGTTAACTATATATGTATTTGTATAATCAAATGAAGGAGGTAGCAAAGGAGACTGTTACAAACCAGGTGGCAAGAGCAGAGTGCCAAGGTACTAGGATACTGAGAAGTCTGACTGTAATTCCACATCCTATGAGAGTTTGGGTTTTTCTTTACTTATAAGCAAACACTAACACGCTAAAGGAATGGGAGGAGACTACAAAGGTGAATGATCCAGAGTGGGCTGATCAGGGACCAAGTGCTCAGGAGGCAGGAGCTGGGGAACCACTGTTGGGGGCATGGTGGTCGGGTGAAGGACCTGCAATGGTGTCCTGTTTTCAACACCACAGTCTGTTACAGATTTGACTTTCTTTGAGGAGCTGAAGTAGCCCATCTGGATCCCAAGTGTCTGTCTCTACCTCTAGAGTACGGACAGAGGGTTCCCTGGCAGGCTCAATGTTCTACCTCTGCTTAGGAACTGAAACATCAGCACATCTGAGTCGAAACTGCCACTTCTTTGGAGAGAGCCCAAACTAATAAGTACAGGTGAATGGAATACAGTAAGGTAAAGATGGAAAAGTAGAGTCAGAAAAAGAGCAGGAGGAATTTTGAACACCAAGCTATGGAATTTGAGTTTTCCTCCATAGACACTGGTAAGCCTTCAGATTTTTTGAGAAAAGGAACATATGGGTATCTCAAGAACATTACATACCAAGCACATGGAAGCCTTGGGACTGTTAATAGTAGCCCCTAAGGGTGGGAAGAGTTGGGTTCTCAGGATATGGAGCTGAAGCATGTTCCTGGCTTTGGAGGAGAATGAAAGTTCCTTCTCCATATATAAGGACCTCGGGGAAAGCCTTGGGTTGGTCTAGCCCTCAACACTAGGGACTGAACCTAGGTTCTGCTGTGTCACATACTGGCCCATCTGCAGAAAACTTGCTTGGGAACTTTCTGATCCTTTGTCTCTGCTAAAAATCAGTTCCATGAAGACTAGGTCCTTGCTTATCTTGCTTCTTGTTGACATAAACAAGGCATTGCAATAGAAATGTCTGTTGAAAATGACTCCAAGAAACCATCTCCCATCTGTCAGAATGGCTAGAATCAGAAAGAATAATGACAGCTTATGCTGGACAGGATGTGGAGAAAGGGGAACACCCCTCCATTGCTGGTGGGAGTTCAAACTTGTACAGCCACTGTGGAAATCAGCATGGTGGTTTCTCAGAAAATTGGGAATCAGTCTACCTCAAGACCCTGCAATATCACTTTTAGGCCTATATCCAAAGGGGCACACTCATACCACAAGGACACTTGCTCAACTATATTCACAGCAGCATTATTCGTAATAGCCAGAACCTGGAAACAACCTCAATGTCCCTCAACTGAAGAAAGGGTAAAGAAAATGTGGTAAATTTACACAATGAAGTACTACTCTGCAGTAAAAAACAATGACAGAAGTGGTTAAAAAAAAACCTGACCCAGAAAGACAAATATGGTATGTTCTCACTCATATGTGGATATTAGGCATACAGCAAGGGATAACCAGTCCAAAGTCTACAACCCCCAGAGATCCACCTAGGAAGGGGAAATAGACATGATCTCCTGAAACCTTCATCTAGTAACTGATGGAAGCAGATGCAGACATTCACAACTACCCACTGGATAGAACTCCTGGAATATAGTCAGAGAGAGGGAGTAGCAATAATATGAGGTCAAGACCAGGATGGGGAAACCCACAGAAACTAGCTGACCAGAACTAGAAGAAGCTCACTGGCTCCAGACTGACATCTGGGGAACCTCCATAGGACCGATCTAGAACCCATGAATGCAGGTGTTGTGGTTTGGGCATTTTTTAGGACTCCTGGCAGTGGCACCAGAAGCTGTCCCTAATGAATGTTCTGGCTTTTTGGAACCCATTTCCTATGAAGAGATACCTTGCTCAGCCAAGGGTAGGGGTGGGGGTGAGGGGCTTGGTCTTACCTCTAATGGGTACATGGGACACAATTCATTGAGTCCCCATAGGAGGCTTTACCCTCTATGAGGAGCAGATAGGGGGGTGGGATAAGGGGAAGGGGGGTTGGAAGAGGGGAGGAAGAGGGAACTGGGATTAGTATGTAAAAAAAAAAAAGCCAGGCAGATGCAGGCATATCTGTGTGACTTCAAGGACAGTCTGGTCTGGAGAGCAAGTTCCAGGACAGGCTCCAAAGGGTACACAGAAATCCTGTCTCAAAAAACAAAAACAAATATATAAATAAATAAAATGAAATATATATATATGAAATGTTTGTTGAATGAATTAATAGATGCTCATTTGAGGATAATTTAGCTTGTATTGGTTAGCTTGTATTCAGTAGCCAGCTTGAAAGGACCCTTTCCATCAAAACAAGGTCCTGAAAAAAGGTCATGGTAAAGGATTTTTTCATGAGTGGGTAACCTCACTTTTGGGTCTTGGTTCAGCTTGACCAACTGATCTTATGTAGAAAAATAAGATCAGACTCAACATAGAGAAAACTAGCACAAAGTAACATGAAACTGGATAGTCTGGGTTATTTTCTCACCCAGTTGTGTCTATGATCACCATAGTAGTCATGGGACCCGGATAATAATTGCTGAAGCGTGCCGGGATCTTTCATAAAGTAATACCAGGAAACTTAGTCCGTGGGAACTACCCCTGCCCCCAAGATGAGCCAATGAAATGCCTATTACTTATGTAACCATTAAAACTCTGTAAATATTGTACTCCCTACAAGCCCGGTATGCTCTGCACCCGAATTGCAGTAGCATCCGCAGGCGCCTGTGTACTCAATAAATCACCTCTTGCATTTGCAGCCAGTGGTCTGGCCCCTGTTCTTGGGCAGAGGGTTCCGTTCAGTGCCCGACGCTTTGATGCCGAGGTCTTTCAACACTAAATGTACATGCTTTAAAGAATGCTTGAAAATCCATCATTAATTTTAACAATGTGCATCTTCCACTTGTCCCAGCTGATAGCATTCAGGTTGGGGAACAGAGTCATGCGAATGCTAATCCCTTATTGCTCTGTCCTTTTTTGATGTAGACAACAAAACTTAAATAACAAGGAAGCAAGCTCTTCTCTGGCTTGGAAAACGAAAGCCTTAAGGTCAGTGAATCAAGAAGCAGGATATGGGTGTGCGTTAGTGTAAGCCAAAGGCTCTTCTTGAGCTAGGGTACACAGACTGGCTTTGAACTTGCTATGAAGCAAAGGATTGCCTTAAATTCCTAACACTCTAGCCTCGACCTCCCACGAGCTGGGATTACTGGCGTCACTACGTTTTGATCCTATGGGTTTTTAATGCAAAACAGAGTAAATCAAGCGACTTGGGAACGCTGGAGGGTGTTTGCCCTGCAGGCTCCAGGAATTCAGCCACGTGAGTGCAGGGTCTGACAATTAGGGCCAGCCAGAAGCTTCCCAGCAGGAAGAGGCGGGGCGCGCGCCAAAAGTAGGGGAAAAGAGCGCGCGGAACGTCTCGGCATTGGCGCCCACCACACTGCCGCGTACTCTCCCTACTCTCCGCTATGCCAGTCGTCGGCTCCGAGCTGCACTCCAGCGCTCAACAGCAGGGCGCGGAGGCACCGCGGCACGGGGAGTTGCAGTACCTGGAGCAGGTGGAGCACATTATGCGCTGCGGTTTCAAGAAGGAGGATCGTACGGGCACGGGCACCTTATCGGTGTTCGGCATGCAGGCGCGATACAGCCTGAGAGGTGACCGCGGCTGGTCCCCACTAATGGGAGGGACTGCGGGAGGACGTCCGGCGGGCTGGGCGCGCGGAGGAGCGGGGCTGACGGCCACGGTTAGTTCTAACCCCGGCTCCAAGAGTCCTAAGCTCCGCGTTCCCTCCCTGGAGCCTCTAGGTGATAGCTACTGCAGGTTAACCAGGTCCCAAAGGCCAGTTGTCCTTAAACCCCCGTTAGGCCGTCTCTCCCGGAGCCAGTTTCAACTAGTCATGCGTCCCAGAGGGACGGAGTAGAGGAAACCTTCCGAGCTTGTCCAAACCTTGCCCCGAGGACCCGGGGTTGGCTCCTCCTCTTCCTTCCCCATATCTCCTGTTCTCCATTGTAACTTTTAAAAATTGGAGCGAAAATGGTTTGGGCGGTGCTAAAGAGGCGTGGAAAAGGGTGAACCAATGCTCAAGGCGGAAACTGTGGGGTTTCCCCCTACATCCTAGGCTTTTAAAGAGGAACCGAGAGGATGTGTAAGCCTACAGAGTAGCCCCAGAGAAGAAGCGCTCTTTTGGGGTTGCTGCTCATCAGGCATCAAGCACAGGACTGCATAGGGGACCGGACTTCCTAGGTTTTGGAGATGAATGGGTTAAGGTGGCCTTTAGAATGAATGAACAGCAACCAGACACTGGCGTAGAAGAGTAGCTTTGAATGAAGTATTCTTAGTCTCAAACATGTTTTGGAACTAGAAACTTTAGCAGCTACTGCACAGATTAATCCAGTGTGCAGTGCCTCCTGCAACAGTGGACTCTGATGAGCCACATACCCAGTTTTTAATCCACTTCTTCCGTTTATACTCTAGACAAGTTATTTTACTTCTCTAGTCTTCGTTCAGCTTTCCTGTATAGATGTTAATGATGTAAATATTGCTCTCTTAGAAAACATACTCAGGCTGCAACACTAGCCTGAAGCCTTTCCTCTTTACCTTGTCTGTTGCCTGCCCCCACCCCTTTGTCTGTCTTCTGTATTGCCTTTGGGTTCCCTGGTGGCCATTCAGAGGCATAAACAATTCTGTTTTTATGTTCTAGGTCAGTTTGCTTCCCAAACATCTGAAAACTGTTTTTCAGTTTTTAGCCGTGTAATATCATCTCTGCCTGGAACATGGTGAACTTGGGTATGGGATCCTCTAGGTTATATCCTAGGCTACATTTTGGGTGTTGCCATTACACACCAGTGACAGCATTCAAAGTGGCTCAGGAGTGGGTGGGGGCTCTTTCTGTTTGCCGTATGGGTACCCCTGTGTCAATACAGAACTATGGTTTCACTGACTCAAATGTAGCTGGGTGGGAGTTCCCAGTTTTCCTAAAGCTCTCCGGGGTTTTATGTCCCAGGCAGTTTCTCTCCACAGAGAAAGCTGGATGATGGCTTGCTGTATTTTGCCACATTTTAACTGTTACAAACTGTTTTTCAGATGAATTTCCTCTGCTCACAACCAAACGAGTGTTCTGGAAGGGAGTTTTGGAGGAGTTGCTGTGGTTTATCAAGGTAAGGGTGGCGTTGGTGTTGGAAGCTGCCTGTCTGCACAACTGAAGTCTTAGTGTCAGTCAAGCCTGTAGCTGTTACCTGTTCCCACTTTACTGGCTCATTTTCTAGCTCTGGCTTTAGATGCGTGTCTCTCCTATGCATCCTGCTTTCTTCACCAATCTGAGCACATTGGGATAATCCTGCCCAGGCCTCTTGCACTTGCTATTCCCATTACCTAGTATCTTTTCCTCTCATGTGGAGTATGGTTCTCTCCCCTCCTTCCAGACAGCCTTGACCTTCTCCTAGTCACCTCTTTGTTTCTCTTCATAAGGACACATCAGCTGATCTATAAATCAGCTTTCCCTCTTCTGGATGGGAGATAAATAAGTACAATGTACTATGAGTTCCCCAAAGGCAGAAAATGTATTTCTCCTATTTCCTCTTGTATCTGAGGACTGAAATATAGCCAACCACACAGTAGGTACTCAGCATATATTGATTGCTTACTTGATAGATACCAAAGAATTAAGTAGGCACCTTGATTATATTGGAGTGGCATAATGACAGATGTTAGTAGACCCAAGTTCCTTCTCTGTATCCTGGCCCAGAAAAAGTGAGTTTCTGTCCAGTGCTGGTTGAGAATACTTCAAGTTCTGGGCCATATTACAAGTTCAACCCCTTCTTTAGAGTGCTTGGAATGATGGCTCAGTAGATAAAGAGGGTTTGTTGTACAAGCATGAGGACCTGAGTTCAATCCCTTGGAGGTATTTAGAAAATTAAAGGGAAGACTGGGGAGATGGCTCAGTGGGTAAAGGCACTTGGCCATACAAATCTGACAGTCTGAGTTTGGATCCCTGGAATCCGTACATAAAAAATCCTATTTGGCCCATGTGACAGTGCAACCTTTAATTGACCTCAGCAGACAGAGCTCAGTGAGTTCCAGGCCATCCTGGTCTACAAAGCAAGTTCCACGACAGCCAGGAATGTTACACAGAGAAACCCTATCTTCAAAAGCAACAAAAGAAAAAAGAAAAACCCTATTTGGTAGTGCCGTCTAATCCCAGTATTTCTATGGGAGATGGAGATGAGAATGTACTGGAACTCAGGGCTAGCTAGCATGGGTAGGAGATGCAGCAAGGGAACAAGAGAGACACCCACCTCAAATAAGGTAGAGGGTAAGAACCAGCTCCTCCATACATGCACCATCATGGCATGCTTACACATATATGCATGCATACATACATACATACATACACCCAAAGATTTTTAAAAGCTGAAGGGAATAGAAGAAATGCCTTGAGGAAATTTCTAATAAATGTAGTGCCTGTACAGGCAGAACACTTCTCAAGGATTTGGGCAAGGGCCTGAAGATTGAAATGAAGACAAAAAGCAGTAGCTCATTCTTGCAAGGAGAATGGCGTTTATTGTAACAGGAGGGGAGCATTATATACCAGTCTGCAGGCACAGTGGAAAGCTACCAAGGTCAGAAGCTCACGTTTCCAGAGCCCTCTGGCAATAAGGATGAGCAGATAATAGAAACTTGAATTCAGACAATAAGGATGGGCAGAAAACTTGTATACGGGCCTAACCGGAAGGAGGGGAATAGGATATGCTTGCTCCTAGTCACAAGATGGTCAGCAGTCCCTATGGGGGAAGGGTCCAACACTAATAAGGAATAAGACTATTCTATAATCCCTCAGAAACTTGTCCAGGACCAGCCTGCTTAAAGATAGGCTGCACATGGATAGTATGCCATGGGTAGGATATTAGTGCTCTCAATCCTTGTTTATGCCTGTTCTACTCACATATTTTCCAGGGTTCCACAAATGCTAAAGAACTGTCCTCCAAGGGAGTGAGAATATGGGATGCCAATGGGTCCCGAGATTTTTTGGACAGCCTGGGATTCTCTGCACGACAGGAAGGGGACCTGGGCCCAGTTTATGGTTTCCAGTGGAGACATTTTGGAGCAGACTACAAAGATATGGATTCAGGTGAGGAGATAATAATGCCTCGGGTTTTCTGGGTGTTCGCCATCAAAGATCCATTTTAGAGTATGGGGGATAAATCCACATAATGGGAGTTGATAAGTAACTGACTTTGAGAAGCTGTGCTGGGTTACAGTGGAGAAGCTACAACAAAATCTCACTGACACATGCACTCCTACTCGCATACACATCAGTCACACCACTCCCAACAAAGCCAAAAGTAATACTAATTTGAATACATGCCAAGGAATGAGAGTCAAGAAATAACAGCCTTGATTTTTCATAATTAGATCATTATGATTCTAGAAAAGCAGCAAACTGTATTACAATAAAATGTCACAGTTTATAATCAGTTGTCAGGCAGTATTTGTTGGTGCTTCATGTTATACCAACATGTATAGTGCAAATCATGAATGTGTATTTGGAACCATGGCTGCAGTGAAGTGCCAACATGCAATACTGGGGAGTTCTGTCAGAGCCACCTCCAATGCTTTATGCATTTGGTTTTGAGTTAGTTTTTGGATGTTGCATGTTTAGTTTTCCACAGCTACCAGATTCATTTAACAGAACCTTTTTATTTTTTTATCCTTAACTTATAGTTTAGGAAGACGTGATTAGATCACAATGCCAGTGGTCCAGATGCCTACATTTTGATAGTAGTATTCAGTGTTGGATGATGAAAGATGAAAAGTGTGTCTCCTTTGGTTTCTAATGAAGCCATTAGGATTCACTCGTGGAACTCCATCCTAATGACTTTCTAATCCTAGTCATTCCTTAAAGGCTACATAATTAAATTAAATTTCTACCCAAAAATGAGAATTACACTTCAACTAATACACCCTGAGGGACACATTCAAAGCGTATCCAAACAACAGTTGGCAACAGGGGCAGTATTAAGGGGAGGAAGTGACATTGAAACAGAGTAAATATTTAAGACTTACGTAGAAAAGAACTTAGATTTTGTTGTAGCTCTATAAGGACCTTGAACTTAATCCAGCAAGATATGAGTATCTTAGAACCATGGGTCAGGGAGGAGCACTGTCAGGGTCATCATTAGAGGCACATGTGACTTAAGTGTATATGTGCTGTCCTGACACTTCTACAGATTATTCGGGTCAAGGAGTAGACCAGCTGCAAAAAGTGATTGACACCATCAAAACCAACCCTGATGACAGAAGAATCATCATGTGTGCCTGGAACCCAAAAGGTGGACAGCATCCCAGTCATCTTCATTTGGATAAACCAGCCAGTTAGCCAAACGGAAGCAAGGTGGCCTGAGGCACAGCACTGGAACTGTCTCCAGTCAAGTGGTTGATAGTGTAGTGTACCCTTGAGCAACTCAGTCATACTTTGCTCTGTTTCCACCTTCATTAGACCCTCATGATCTGCTTTATGTATTCATATTAAAGGAGTATTAAATTGCCTGTAAAAATACACCTATGGTTTTAATTTGGAGTAGATAAAGTTTCAAGTGTTAACTTGAAACTACATTATAAAATTAAACTCTACCAGGGTGTAGTGAGTACCCAGGAAAGCACATTTTGTATTTCTGATAGAGACTTAAAACAGAAAGATGTGCCTGAGATGCCAGTTTCCTATGGCCTTTGCAAATGAAATAAATTACCTTTTATTAAATGCTCAACAGCACCCCAAATCCTTAATTTTAGCTCAGATGAAAGCATTGCTTCAGCATCGAGGCATACTTTTAGATACCTTATGCTAATGGACAAACTTGTATTACCTCTGCTGCAGGGCTGGGAAAATGATCTGGCATTGACATAATGGAAAGGTGTGAGTTGTGGGTGTCTATAAACTTAATGGCTTTTTTTTCATGGTTGGCTTCTGTTTTCTATTTTACCTTTTTCATAGCTATGTTCTCTAAAACCCCTCCTTGTTTCTCCTTTGACTCAGATCTTCCCCTGATGGCACTGCCTCCTTGCCATGCCCTCTGTCAATTCTATGTGGTAAATGGGGAGCTGTCTTGCCAACTTTACCAGAGGTCAGGAGATATGGGCCTGGGCGTGCCCTTCAACATTGCCAGCTATGCCCTGCTTACCTACATGATTGCACACATCACAGGTCTGAAGGTGAGCTACTTTCACAAGGCATGGTTATAGCCAATGTAATGTACTGAACTCAGTGGGGAATTTGGTCGGATTAATATTAAAATTTTATTCATGTAAGTAAGACATGCACTGGCTTACCTTGTAACCCTCCTTGGAGCTACCTTTTTGCCTATGGAAACTAACATTCATATAGGTTTCTTATTCTTTTTTTTTTTTTTTTTGAGACATGGTCTTATTCTCTAGTCAAACCTAGCCTTGAACCTACAGCAATCTTCTTGTCTCAATGTCTAAGAATGGAGAATTGTGAGTGCTTGTGAGAAAACTCCAAGAAAACAAGAGTCTTGTGACTTCAGCTTCATCAATACATAGTATTGTTCTTGGAAAGTATTTTTGTGTTCCTCCTATGTGTATCAGATATAAGTGAGTTTACTTCAGCTGTTGTTACTCATATGCCTCTATGGAAAAAACATGTTTTTGCCATGTGTTGCTGGTCTTTGTGATTGTATACTTTACTCACATGACTGTTAACCTTCAGAGTATAAATTGTCTAATACTCTCAATAAAGTTGACTACTGCATAAGACTTTAGTCCATTTCACTTTAGGCCCCACTCTCAGGTTTACAATGTCAACTCTCAACCTTCCAATTGATGGAATTATGTGTGTTAAGCTATTGTTCACAACCTAAAAAATTTTTTCGAAACGCTTTGAACTATCTGCATACCATATAAAAATGTTTTATTATGTATGTGTACATGGAGGGCCCACACGTTTCACAGTGCATGTGTAGAGATAAGAGCAGAATTTGCATGAGTCATTTCTCTTCCTCCATGTGGGTTCCAGGGATCGAGCTCAGGTTGTCAGGATTGGTGGCAAGTGTCTACCCATGGATCCATCTCACGGCCCCCAATCTGTTTTAAAATGTGTTTTTAAGAGTTTAAATTAAAATATTGACTGTGTTCTCTCCTTTGGTACATTTTTAGCCAGGTGATTTTGTCCATACTTTGGGAGATGCGCATATTTATCTGAATCATATAGAGCCACTGAAAATTCAGGTAAGAAATATACCTGTTACATTTCTTTTTGAGCTTGGCATCTTCTCTTGACAAAAGATTAGATGGCAGGGCATCCTTTGTACCATAGGCACTCTGGCTGATGCTTTCTTATACTGAAGTGCTTCAACTGCAGGGCTTTTAAATAAGGGAGATAAGCAGGTGGCCACAAACACAGACCATGGTAAGGTATTAAGTTCCTTACCAGTACTGAAAGAAGAGCCAGGAGACGTGGCATTTTAACTCACATTTTTACTTGAAGACCTGAAAAATAAATGACTTTAGTTTTATGCTTAAGTATAGTACTTACATCTGAACTTTAAAAAGCCTGTCCTTTTAAATTCCTTTCAAATTCTTATAGTACAGCAGACAACAAGTGACTAGAAATGGTAGTAAGAATATGAGTGTCCATATTTCATGAACATTGAGGAAAAAGGTAGACTCAGAAAAGTAAACAACTGTGTCCCTATGTTTAATATATTTATCAGGAGTTATCTGGTGGCTTCAGCCTGTAATCACACCTACTTAAGAGGCTGGAACAGGAGCATTCCAATTCAAGGCTTGCCTGGGCTACAGAATGAGAGTTCAACATAAACCTAGATAACTGACCAAGACCCTCTCTCAGAATAAAAAGTAAACAAAGAGCTGGGCTATAGCTTAATGGCAGATTACTCATAAGACCCTAGGTACAGTCCCCATTGTTGTCAAAAGAAAGGACAATACTGCACTCCTGTAAAATAGTACTTTGTCATAAAATACTGTGTTGGTTTCATGTGGAGACGTGGGAATGAGTGTAAAATAATACCATGATTTTCTTTTTAGCTTCAGCGAGAACCAAGACCTTTCCCAAAGCTCAAAATTCTTCGAAAAGTTGAGTCAATTGATGATTTCAAAGTTGAAGACTTTCAGATTGAAGGTTATAACCCACATCCAACGATTAAAATGGAAATGGCTGTTTAGAGCTCTTTCAAAGATGGCTGTGAATACCACCAGACTTTAGGGTTTGAGCCTGATGCTCAGCGTAAAGTTTTTCTCTAAAGGAAAATAACTAGAACAAAACTCTGACAGTGTTCTATCTGTAACTGTCATCAATGTCTAAAGCATCACTGCCTTTCCTTTGGTATTCACAGAGGTACATAAAAAGCTGAGATCATATACTCAGCAAAAACAATCAGGCATTTATATATGTCTATATGAAGAAGGCTGAAGAGGTTCAGATTATGTTATTCCTCTAAACTTGAAGTATGTTACAATGTTTACTTATAAATGTTTTATATGATGTAATAATAAAGAACTGTTTTGCACTTGTTTAAAATTTTCAAAATAATTTTTATTAGTGTCTCTGTATGTATGTGTGTATATAGGTCAGAGCACAATTTGAGAAAGTTTGGTTAGGATTGGTGACAGGCTCAAGTTTCTGACTAAAATAGATTGACCTAAAAACCATTAAGCTTCTTGTTGAGACAGGGTCTCATGTATTACAGGCTGACCTCAAACTCACCCCCTGACTTATATCCTAGTTGCTGGGATTGTAGGCATGTATTGGAGATTGAACCCAGAATTTCATGTATGCTAGGCTCTACCAAGTTAACCACATCCCCAGCCCTCTTGTTTTTTCGTTTGTTTGGCAGGATCTTACTCTATCTAGGTTGGCCTGGAACTCACTGTATAGCCTAGGGCTGATAGTTAAATTATATTTAGTAAAGTAGACTAAACTTTTTTCTCCTATTTTTCCACAGTGTACTTACATTATATTTTACATGAAAATATAATGGCCACTTAAGATTGGTAAGGGTCTGCAGTTGCTCAGAGATTCATCATCATGCTGTCTTAGGGTTTTTATTGCTGTGAAGAGACCATGACCATGGCACCTCTTATAAAGGAAAACATTGGTGTGGCTTATTTGTAGTTCAGAGGTTCAGTCCATTATCATCATGGTGGGACGTGGTGGAATGCAGGTAGATATGATGCTGTTGAAGTAGCTGAGAGTAGTCTGTGACACTGGAAGTAGTTTGAGCATAGGAGATCTCAAAGACTGCACCCACAGTGACACACTTTCTCCATCAGTGCCATACCTACTCTAACAAAGCCACACAAAATAGTGTGCCCCCTTTGCAGGCCACTTTGTTTCAAACCGCTGTGATGACCATGAATAAATTTAATAAGATGCTTTTTATTTTTGGCATCTTGAATGATTGGGATCAGGTCTGCACCTGAGAGTCCTCCCAAGATACAGCATCTAGCCATATCAGCCCAGGGCTTATTAAAGGTGCAAAACCCACAAGATTACATGTATACTGCCTAAACATAGGCAGTTGTCCTAGTCATCTTTTTGAGCAGAGTAAGCAAGTTTGTTTAGAAAAGCAAAAATAGCAGTTAGTTTATGATCTATTATCTTGCTAGGAAAAACAGATTTTATAAGATCAGTCAATTTAAGAATCTTCACTATCTGGTTAAAAAAAAAAACAAACTGGGAGTCATCTATTTAGGTTTTCCGAGGCAGGGTTTCTCTGTGTAACAGCTCTGGCTTTCCTGAAATAACTCTGTAGACCAGGCTGGCCTCAAACTCACAGAGATCCATCCACCTGATTCTGCCCCCCAAATGCTGGGATTAAAGATGTTTGCCACCACTGCCTGGCCATCAGAAGGGTTTAAATCACGTTTTTAAGGTTTTGCTTGTTGGGGTGGGAAGTGGTACGGGGACATGTCTCACAACTTAGCCCTAACTGGCCTGGAGCTTAGTATGTACCTTAGGCTAGCCTCAAATGTGTGGTACAACTCCAGCTTCATCTTCCTGCATGCTGGGATTACAAGTTGGAGTTCCCATGCCTGGCTAAGATAGTTATAAAAGTGTGAAGAAATGCCATTTGTCCCCATTAATTTCAGTGGAGTGTGAATTCCTTAAAATGCTTAGACTGATAGCAGATGGGATTGTTAAAGTAATTCAAGACAAATGAGTGAATCCTGTTTGTTGCTTTATCAGATTCCTCACAGTGATGTAGAACCAGTTTTATTCTGATTTCCGACAAGTGCTAAAATGAGGAATTATTACAAAAATTTATGGACCATTGCTTGTTTTCAAATTATACCTTAATATCTAGATAGAGATTTGCCATCTTCCTGGGCTTTATGTTAGGTATATTTGCTTTATAACTAAAGAAAAAAAAAGTTGATGTTGACCATCAACCATGATGACAGCTGATTCCTAAGATGAGTATGGCCTGTAGCTAGACTTAATTTTTCTTCTATTTTTATAAAACTCCAGAATTATAACCATTTCCACTTCAGAAAAAAAGTGTTAGGGCTGAACACATAAATCTTGAACAACAAGGAGTTTCTTCCAGACTTCTCCATCTGGGTATTGGTGTTTCTTCACAGATTGCTCCTTCATTTCTGTTGAGTAGCCTGCATCCTAGCAAAGACAACAGATTGCTATATGTTAACAGTGGCTTCTGCTGCTTCTAGAAATGCTTCTAAATCTAATCGAGAGGTAATTCAGTACTTAAAAAATTAATTAGGGGTTGGAGAGATGGCTCAGCACCTATCTCAGGCAACTCACAACCTCCTGTAATTCCAGTTCCAGGGGATTGCCTCCTTTGGTCTCCCAGGGTACCTACACTCATGTACATACACATGTAATTAAAAATAAAGCTTTAAAATGAAAGGGTTTTTTGTTGTTTTTTAAAAGAAGACAGAGGGTCACACTTAACTGGATTGTTAATGAAACTAAATCTTTGGGATCTTAAATCTGTCGGTGAAAATGAGCTGTAATCTGGACAAAATCTGGATAAATGGTCCAGGTCACAAAACTGTAGTCAAAATCTTTTAGGTCACTAAGGTGCATGTGGTGCTGGCCTTGGACAGAATGAATGTATTTTGAGGGCTCAGCAACTTTGGAAATATGACTATAACTTTGTGTCAGAATTTCCATAAAAACAAATAAATAAATGATAAAAAAAAGCACCTTGGGGACAAACTGATTTATATCAGCTTATACCTCTCAGGTCACATTCCATCACCAAGGGAAATCAGGATAGGTACTCAAGAGGGCAGGAACTGAAGCAGAAACCACTGAGGACTGCTACTTAGTACCATGTTCCTCATGGCTTGCCAGTCTACCTTCTTATATCTAGTACTATACCTGTCCAGAGTATGGTAAGCTGGGCTCACCCGTATCACAGTGTTGCCCTCAGACTGGTCTTCTTGATATCTTCTCAACTGAGGTTCCCTCTTCAAAAATGACTTCTAGCTTGTGTCACGTTGACATAAAACTAGCTGCATACTTAAGGATTTAATACTCCTTACTAGAAAGACATTTGTTTCTAGATATTGAAAGTCATTTTTATTTTTTTGCTTTGTTTTTCAAGACAGGGTTTCTTTGTAGCTTTGAAACCTGTTCTGGAACTCTATGTAGACCAGGCTGGCCTAGAGCTCACCCACCTGCCTCTACCTTCTGAGTGCTAGGAATAAAGGTGTGCACCTGGTCTACAAAGCTACACAGAGAAACACTGTCTCAAAAAAACAAAACAAAACACAAACAAAAGGTGTGTGCCACCATCGCCCAGAGAAAATCAATTCTTAAAAAGGCAAAAGCTTCCAACACCCCTTCATGATAAAGGTCTTGGAGAGATCTGGGATAACAGGGACATACTTAAACATAATAAAAGCTATATACAGTAAACCAACAGCCAACATCAAACTAAATGGACAGAAACTCAACGCAATTCCTCTAAAATCAGGAACAAAACAAGGCTGTCCACTCTCTCCATACCTTTTCAACATGGTACTTGAAGTTCTAGCTATTGCCATACGACAACAAAGGGGGATCAAGGGGATACAAATTGGGAAGGAAGAGGTCAGACTTTCACTGTTTGCAGACGATATGATAGTTTACATCAATGACCCAAAGAACTCTACCAGGGAACTCTTACAGCTGATTAACACCTTCAGCAAAGTGGCAGGCTACAAGATCAATTCAAGAAAATCAGTAGCCCTACTATATACAGATGATAAAAGGGCTGAAAGAGAAATCAGAGAAACATCACCCTTTACAATTGCCACAAACAACATAAAATACCTTGGGGTAATGCTAACCAAACAAGTGAAAGACCTGTATCGTAAGAACTTTGAATCTTTAAAGAAAGAAATTAAAGAAGCCCTCAGAAAATGGAAAGGTCTCCCATGCTCTTGGATAGGTAGGATCAATGTAGTAAAAATGGCAATCCTGCCAAAAGCAATCTACAGATTCAATGCAATACCCATTAAAATCCCAGCACAATTCTTCACAGACCTTGAAAGAACAATAATCAATTTTGTATGGAAAAACAAAAGACCCAGGATAGCCAAAACAACCCTGTTCAACAAGGCAACGTCCGGAGGCATCACCATCCCTGACCTCAAGCTCTATTATAGAGCTATAGTCCTGAAAACAGCTTGGTATTGGCACAAAAATAGACAGGTAGACCAATGGAATCGAATTGAAAATCCGGGTATTAACCCACACACGTACGAACATCTGATCTTTGACAAAGAAGCTAAAAATATACAATGGAATAAAGAAAGCATCTTCAACAAATGGTGCTGGCATAATTGGAGACTGGCATGTAGAAGAATGCGGATCGATCCATGTTTATCGCCATGCACAAAACTTAAGTCCAAATGGATCAAAGACCTCAACATAAATCCAGCCACATTGAACCTCTTAGAAGAGAAAGTGGGTGGTACCCTTGAACAAATTGGTACAGGAGACAGCTCCCTGAACATAACACCAGTAGCACAGACAGTGAGATCAACAATTAATAAATGGGACCTACTGAAACTGAGAAGCTTCTGTAAGGCAAAGGACACAGTCAGCAAGACAAAAAGGCAGCCCACAGAATGGGAAAAAATATTCACTAATCCCACATCTGACAGAGGGTTGATCTCCAAAATTTACAAAGAACTCAAGAAGCAAGTCTCCAAAACAGCAAAGGACCCAATTAAAAAGTGGGCTGCAGAACTAAATAGAGAGTTTTCAATAGAGGAGTCTAAAATGGCTGAGAGGCACTTGAGAAAGTGCTCAACATCCTTAGCCATCAGGGAAATGCAAATCAAAACAACTCTGAGATACCATCTCACTCCTGTCAGACTGGCTAAAATCAAAAACACCAATGACAATTTATGCTGGAGAGGATGTGGTGAAAGGGGAACACTCCTCCATTGCTGGTGGGAGTGCCAACTGGTTCAGCCACTTTGGAAATCAGTATGGAGATTCCTCAGAAAAATGGGAATAAACCTACCACAAGACCCAGCAACTCCACTCTTAGGCATATATCCAAAAGATGCCCATTCATACAACAAAGATGTCTGTTCCACTATGTTCATAGCAGCTTTATTTGTAATAGCCAGAACTTGGAAGCAACCTAGATGTCCCTCACCCGAAGAGTGGATAGAGAAAATGTGGTACATCTACACAATGGAGTACTATTCAGCAGAAAAAAATAATGGAATCATGAGATTCGCAGGCAAATGGATGACACCAGAAGAAACCATCCTGAGTGAGGTAACCCAGTCACAAAAAGAGAAACATGGCATGTACTCTCTCATATATGGATTTTAGACATAGATCTGGGGAGTGCCAGCCTACAATCCTATGGCCAGAGAGTCTGGGAAACAGAAACTTCATTTAGTGGCCGGTTAAGTACTGAGCTGAACTCAAGAAAGCCAGTAACAGAGAGGGAGGACTGATGATCAACGGGATTAAGACTGGGCTGGTTTAACCCCCAGAAACAGCTGACCAGACAAAGGTTAACTCTTGAATCCCAGGCATCAGCCTGGGAATCCAGCATGGGACTGATCAATACCCCCTTAATTTGGGTGTCAATGAGGAGGCCTAGGGAACCTATTGAGCCTTGGGCAGCAGATCAGTACCCATCCCAAGTATACACACGGACTTTGGACTCCCATAGAACAATGTGAGGTGCACTCTCACCCTGAACTCTTGGGGAAGGGTCTAGGCCCTGCCCTATATGAAATGACAGACTATGGACACCCCCATGGAGGGCCTCACCCTCCCTGGGGGAATGAGGGGATAACGGGGGGGGGGGGGTTGGGGGGATGGCACGGGAGGAGGGGAGGGAATGGGAGCAGGACCTGGAACTGACTTGTGAAGCAACCTCGTTTCTTATCTAAATTTAAACTGGAAAAAAAAGAAAGTTATTTGAATGCATGTTAAACATTAATGTAATTTTTGAAAGGTTATATCTGATTTTTTTTACCAAAATAAATCTGGAGAATAAAAAAAAAAAAGAAGAAGCTGGACGTGTTTGTAGTGGCTGGTGTTTGGGGATGTAGAGGATTCTTTAGAATGCCACTAGACTTCTACCCCATGTGCACAAAATTTATTTCTGTTAAATCTTATTTTTTCTATAGGAAGGTGTCGTTGCTGAATAAAAATATCTTTCTGTATCTTGCCTGAATATCTTAAAAATATGGAACAAAGGAGGGCAAGCAGAATTAAAAAAAAAAGTCAAAAGCTTGGTGGTTCCTGTTCAGGGATACAATGACTGCTGGCCCAGGCCTCAATTTACCTTGGGAAGCAGATAGGAAGCATGCTTGATTACCACAGGATACTTGAAATGTTCATGCAGGTGGTCCACATATTCACACAACCTAGGGAATTGGAGCCTTAGTGCCTGAAGTTATATAAGTCATGAGCTAGCAACTGAAAGCAGAAGTATCCTTAAATGGTGGGTTGTGGAGGTGGCTTGGTGTGTAAAAGCATTTGCTTTGCAAGCATGAAGACCAGGATTTGATCTCAGGAAAACATGTAAAGCTGGAGATGGTGGGGCACATATAGTGAGATGGAGGGTAGAGATAGAAGAGTCCCTTGAAGCTCAGGTGGGACAGCTAGCTGGCATACATAGTGGGAATCACCAAAGACACCCTGTTTCAGACAAGGTTGGGAAGTAAAGACTAACATCTGAGGTTGTCCTCTGACCACAACTATACCTGCATACACCATTCTCGCTCTCTCTGTCGTGTCTGTGTCTGTCTCTCTGTCTCTGTCTCTGTCTCTCTGTCTGTCTGTCTGTCTGTCTGTCTGTCTCTCTCTCTCTCTCTCTCTCTCACACACACACACACACACACACACACACACACGCACACACACACACAGAGTCTTTTTGCTATGGAACCTGGGGTTGTAGATCCATTAGAGCACTTGGCTTGGATAAAATTCTAGGCTTAATCACCAAGACTTAGCAGTTAATACATGTTTCTGTACAAAGTCAGTCTGTGAAGTACTTCCATCTACAGGACAGATGTAAGAGCTGAGATGTACTGTGAAGTTACCCTAAAGGTTTTGTAGTACCACAACATCAATTCAGATTCCAGACACCTGGGATTATTGTGGTGCCTAGAGCCAAATGTTAGTTAACTAGATTAAACCGCCTAATGAGATTCCTTCCATCTATACAGATGATTACATGAAAAGCACAGGATTTGGAACTGGGTCAGTCTGTTCAAATTTTGTATGCCAGTGTTCAGTCTTGTGGGCAGGTGCCATATAAAAAAGGATGAGCAATCTAACCTATTTCTTTAGTCACCTGATAACACAATGGCACATAACAGGGAGGGCACCAGCCTGTACCAGTGTTGTATGGCAGTACCTAGGAGATTAAAGCCTCCCATTTTGGAATAAAACTTCTTAAGAGAATGTTTTAGGGAAGTGAAGCAACAGGGAGGAAAAACTGCATGGAAGCTCACTAGGAGATGAAATAAACAACTAAAATTAACTTCAGAAAGTCCCTAAAACTGGCCACATTCACGAGGCCACTCTTTCCCAGAGAAAACAGTAAAGATTGGTGAGAGTCACTCTCAGACAAGCCCAGCCACCCAGAAGAAAGAGATAAGCCCCAGGAAAACTGCATAGAAGAATCAAAGATCAGATGAACTGCTTGGAAAAGGCTCATAACTGAGTCACCTGGAAAGGACACTCTTCAATTTGTGGTGCTGCCTGCAGGCTGTGCAGTGTTTTCCAAGTCCCAGCTTTGTGAGCAGTCACCCATGCTGGGTGGACTTTGGTGATACAGCTGTCTTTGCGTCATTTCTGTTCCTGAAAGTAATCCCTCACCCATATTCCTCTAAGTAACTTAAGTTGAACTTTGGTGGTATCTGTACTTGAGTCTGTCACCAGTTCCCTATATAGGGTGATTATAAATGTGTTCACTCCTGGAACTCAGTTGCAAAGAGGAGTGATGAGCAAAGGAATCAAGACCAGGCTGGCGAAACCCACAGAGGCAGCTGACCTAAACAAGGGGAACCCATGGACCCCAGACTGAATGATGCCTGAGAGACCAGCATGGGACTGATCCAGACACCCCCCCTCCTTGAACCTGGGTGTCAGAGAGGAGGCCTTGGCAATCTGTGGGACCTTGGAGAGTAGATCAGTATTTATTCCTGGCATACAAATAGACTCCAGGAGCCCATTCCACATGGAAGGATGCTGTCTCCACTTGGACACATGGGGAAGGACCTAGGCCCTGTGTGGGATGATATGACAGACTCTGAAAACCCCTCATGGAAGCCTTTACCCTCCCCTGGGGAGCAAAGGGGGGATGGAGTGGGGTAGGGGGTTGGAAGGCTTGGGGGGCCAGGAGAAGAGGGAAAGGAAAAGGAACTGAGAGTAACATGTGTAAGAAGTTAAATTAAAAATATATATATATGAAGTTTGTTCACATATATTAATGTCACACAGAAACCAGGAATGTACAAATAAACTGGCAAGAGAAGCTCACGGCGCCTGTGTTCTATGTAAGAAACAGGGTGCAGATACAGATCCAGCTACATGGAAGAGACAGTTGGGTCTCAAAAAATAAAGAGAGAATAACAAATCTGGGGGCTTAAGATGTCAACACCTGATATTGGTACTGGTGGCAGTTTTATATAGGCAGTTCTGAATTGCAAATCCTGTATGAAACCGCTTTGAGGTATCTCACACTAGGGATACTGCACTGAAGTGCTTAGGCGTCTCTAGGAACTGCAGGACTCTCATAAAGACAAGAACTGAAATGAGAAAGTAAATGTAAAGGAAAATGAGAAAGAGAATGTAAAACAGCTTAGGAAGAATGCTTTCAACATAGCATCAGTTTGGACAGTATTCAGAAAAGAGTAATGACCTAGACCTTCATTGTCAAGATTCCTGTGAGATTAGGTGTGAGCAGCAGGTCTAGGGTAAGGAGGTCCTGGTTTCTTCTCTTTGAACTGAATGTTCTTTCAAGTATAAACTAGTTTAGGCAGATTTAGAAGGAAGTGTTTACTTAATAGACAGCTAAATAAACCATGTCAATTCTAATTGAACATCCTCACCCCCCAGCCCCAGCCTCCATGTACCTTGCCATTCATTTCTTTCTCACAGTCCTGAATTTAATGTTTTCCTTTCCCATGTAGGTTCTCACATTTGTTCTCACAAATTAACTTTAGTGATGTCTCTGTTATAGCTTAGCTTTAGCAGACAAAGTATAATAAGCAAATCCATATATGTGCAAATGACTGGAAGGAGACTCTTCCAACTTAAAATACTGTTGGAGCTAGAGAGATGGTTTGGCTGTGAAGAGCACTGGCTGCCCTTTAGGAGGGCCCAGGTTTAATTCCCAGAACTCACATAGCAGCTCACGAGTATCTATTACAGGTCCAAGAGACCCAGCGCCCTCTTCTGACCCAATAGGGCACTGCATACATGTGCACAGGCATACATGCTGGCTAAGCACCCATATTCATTTAAAAAAAAAGTAAAGGGAAAAAATTAAAACAACAAAGTGAACAGTATCAATCTGGAATTGTTATTTTAAATCTATTTTAGGTGCTTGCAACGGGTGTACAGGGTTCAGAGTATCTGAACCTGTAAGAATTTTCAAAGAGCTGTTTTGGATCAAGGGATCAGTGAGAGAGGAGTTAATGTCATGTTACTGACCTGTTTTGGAGGCTGGCAGAGACTGATATGTAGTCAAATATAAGTGCTATACCAGTTCACAAAGTCCAACTCCACCAGCATGGGGACAAACAGGGACTAGAAGGAAGGTATTTCAATTTAATTCAAAAGTAATGCAGAGAAGAGGGAGAGCGAGCTCATGGGTTTTGCTAGTGTCTACAGGCAATTCAATATTTTAATATTTAAGGATGAGATTCTAGGATGGAAATCAGCCAAGACTCATTGATAAGGGATAAATAAGATTTAGAGAAAAGGCAAACTACAGACCTATGAGTTGCAAAGGACAGCAAAGGGAGCATGACCTTTGGCGGGAGCAGAGTGGAGGTGTGGCCCACAGCCTCCACATTACACTTACTTCCAAACTTTTTTGCCATCAGTAATACTGAGAGGTTTTCATTGACACTTCCTAGTCTACAGCTGTCAATTTGGAGAAACTGCAGGGCATTTGCTTGTAGGAGTTGCTTAAATATCACTCGATTGTGGCACTGGAAACAGAATTAAACATTTCAGCATAATACCAACAGAAGAATTGGCCTTCGTTCTCAGGATCCCTCAGCTTGGCACTACCATGATTCCACACCAGCTGTTACTCATTACTAGACTTCAGGAAGCCTGGACTATATTCTTTCTTTCTTTTCTTTTTTTTTCTCACTTAACCTGAGGTGACCCTGACAGTTCAGAGGGACAAATCTGAAGCTATAACTGTGAGTCAGGTACAAACCACACCAGCTCTCCATTTGTAAAGGAATTACTGTTGTATCATCTTGCAAGTGGGAAATTGAATGAAGCATCAGGATGGAATACAGTGGCAGCTACAAACAGATGACACAATGACAAAAAGAAACAGTGACAGGGTGGTATTGTTCATTTTGCAGGGAGACTGAAAACCTGTTCCTCACTCTGTTCTACCTTTGGGCTGGTATAGGCAGACTAGTGCATACTTTATCAGCACAAGAAGAGAACAATGTCACACTTACTCAATTTGGATGCTGATGTTCTTAAGGTCACTGTATGCCCTGACAATAATGTTATCCTTGTTCATTCTGAGTAATTGATTGGAGAGAGAGAGAGAAACACTGACCTGAGTCCATTAATTATGGAAAAATTCACGAAACATTGTACTCTAGTGAATCACCAATTTTTATGATGATAAAAATTTCCCAAATTATAATGCAACATGACTATGTCCTCTGTACAAGTGGTTAGTGAGGTAATACCAAGGACATATCACTCACCTGTTCTCCTGTGGCAACGCCAATTCCTAATGGGGCCAATGCCTGCAAAATAAGGCAGGCTTGTTTTATTTTCCAAAGTTTGAACTGTTACTCTGAATGTTTAAAAATATTGTTATAGCTGAAAGAAACATCCCTCCTGTTGAGTCATATGAATTTTAAAGCTTGGCAGAAGGATGTCCACAGCAATGTGTGTGTGGAGGAGAGTTGTGTTCCCACTGGCGATAAAAAACAGGGCTCTCCAGCTAGTCAAGCTTCAGGTGAGATTGGGTCTCCAGCGGGGACCGCCCGCCCTTCCCCCATCCCCCTTGATCTTCGGGGCCAACTGGCATCCAGAAGACCCGCCCACACAGGAAAGGCATCAGCCCCTCCAAGACCCCAACCCCAGCTAGTCCAGCTTCAGGAAAGACATCAACCCCTCCAAGACCCCAACCCCAGCGAGTCCAGCTTCAGGAAAGACATCAACCCCTCCAAGACCCCAACTCCAGTGAGTCCAGCTTCAGGAAAGGCATCAGCCCCCCCAAGACCCCAACCCCAGCGTGTCCAGCTTCAGGAAAGACATCAGCCCTTCCAAGACCCCAACTCCAGTGAGTCCAGCTTCAGGAAAGACATCAGCCCTTCCAAGACCCCAACCCCAGCGAGTACAGCTTCAGGAGACCTGCCCACACAGCAAAGAAGTCAACAATTCCAAGACCCCAACCCCAGTGAGACCAGCTTCAGGAAAGACATCAGCCCTTCCAGGACCCAAACTCCGTGTCAGCATCCCCAGCTTCAGCTGCAGGAAGGAAGGAGACCAGTGGAGACGGAAAGACCCCACCAGCACCCACTGAAAGAAGAGATGGGAAGAAGACAGAATAAGAAATCACTCAGCAATAGAAACACCAACATGACCCCACCAGAATCCAGGGATCCAACACCAGCAAGACCCAAAAAGCACTACATAGACGAAGAAGAGGAGACAGACCTTAAAAATTATTTCATGAAGATGATGGAGACCCTCAAAGAAGAAATGAGGAAATCCTTTAAAGAAATAGAAGAAAAAACAAACAAAAAAATCCATGAAATGGGGGGAAAATTAAAGAAATAAACAAATCTCTCAAAGAATCTAAAGAGCACCAAGAAAGAACAACCAAAAAAATGAAGGAAACAACTCAAACAGTTGAAGGATTGAAAGCTGAAATAGAAACGATAAAGAAAACACAGAATGAAGGGATGCTGGAAATAGAAAAGCTGGGTAAATGATCAGGAACTACAGATGCAAGTATCACCAACAGAATACAAGAGATAGAAGAGAGAATCTCAGGCGTTGAAGACTCATTAGAGGATATAGAGTCGTCAACCAAAGACAATCTCAAAACCAACAAATCCTTAACACAAAATATCCAGGAAATATGGGACACCGTGAAGAAGCCAAACCTGAGAATAATAGGTATAGAAGAAGGTGAAGAAATTCAACTTAAAGGTACAGAAAACATATTCAACAAAATCATAGAAGAAAACTTCCCTAACCTAAAGAAAGATATGCCTATGAAAGTACAAGAATCTTACAGAACACCAAATAGGCTCGACCAGAAAAAGAAGTCACCTCGCCATATAATAATCAAAACATCAAACCTACAGAGTAAAGAGAAAATATTAAGAGCAGCTAAAGAAAAAGGCCAAGTAACATACAAAGGCAGACCTATCCGAATTACACCTGACTTCTCAATGGAAACGATGAAAGCCAGAAGATCCTGGACAGATGTCCTACAAACGCTAAGGGAACAAGGATGCCAGCCCAGACTACTATATCCAGCAAGCTCTCAATTACCATAGATGGAGAAAACAAAATATTCCATGACAAAGCCAGATTTAAACAATACGTATCCATGAATCCAGCTCTACAGAAAATGCTAGAAGGAAAACCTAGAGCCAAGGAAGATAACTACATTCACAAAGACACAGGCAATATATAATGACACTTTACAAAACACCAAAAGAAAAAGGGAGGAGAAACTACACAAAATAACTTCACTAACAATAAATCAAGCACAAGCAAGGATCACCAATCAATGGTCATTAATATCCCTCAATGTCAACGGCCTCAACTTGCCTATAAAAAGACACAGACTAGCAGAATGGATACGAAGACAGAACCCTTCCTTCTGCTGCATACAAGAAACACATCTCAACATCAAAGACAGATGTTATCTCAGAGTAAAGGGTTGGGAAAAGATCTTCCAATCAAACGGTCCCAAGAAACAATCGGGTGTAGCAATCCTAATATCTAACAAATTAGACTTCAAATTAAAATCAATCAAAAGAGATGAAGAAGGACACTTCATATTCATCAAAGGAAAAATACATCAAGACGAAGTCTCAATTTTAAACATCTACGCCCCAAATACAAAGGCACCTACATTTGTGAAAGAAACATTACTAAAGCTCAAAATGCACATAAAATCTCACACACTAATAGTAGGAGACTTCAACACTCCGCACTCACCGCTAGACAGGACCTCCAGACAGAAACTTAACAAAGAAACAAAAGAACTAATAGAAGTTATGTCCCAACTGGGTTTAACAGACATCTATAGAACATTCCACCCAAATACAAAGGGATATACCTTCTTCTCGGCATCACATGGAACCTTCTCTAAAATTGACCACATAATAGGAAACATAGCAAATCTCCACAGATACAAAAAAATTGGAATAACCCCCTGCATCTTATCAGACCACCATGCATTAACATTAGAATTCAACAGTAACACAAATCGCAGAAACCCTACAAACTCATGGAGATTGAACAATGCACAATTGCACCATCCCTGGGTAAAGGAACAAATAAAAAAAGAAATTAAAGACTTCCTCGACTTCAATGAGAATGAAGACACAACATACACAAACTTATGGGACACTTTGAAAGCAGTGCTGAGAGGAAAGTTTATAGCACTAAGTGCTCACATGAAAAAACTGGAGAACAGTCATACTAGAGAATTAATAGCACAGCTGAATGTTCTAGAACAAAAAGAAGCAAACTCCCCCAGGAGGAGCAGACGCCAGGAAATAATCAAATTGTGGGCTGAAATCAATCAAGTAGAAACCAGACAAACACTGAGAAGAATCAACGAAACAAAGAGTTGGTTCTTTGAGAAAACCAACAAAATAGATAAACCTCTGTCCAAACTCAAACTAACCAAAAGACAGAGGGAGAGCATGCTAATTAACAAAATCAGGGATGAAAAAGGGGACATAACAACAGACTCAGAGGAAATCCAGAGAATCATCAGGGCATACTTTGAAAATCTGTACTCCACAAAATTTGAAAATTTAAAGGAAATGGACAATTTCCTGGATAGATATCACTTGCCAAAACTAAATCAAGAACAGATAAACAATCTAAACAGACCTATAACCCCTAATGAAATAGAAGCAGTCATCAAAAGTCTCCCAAATAAAAAAAGCCCAGGCCCAGATGGCTTCAGTGCAGAATTCTACCAGAAATTCAAAGAAGAGCTAATTCCAATACTCCTCAAAGTATTCCACACAATAGAAGCAGGAGGCTCACTGCCAAACTCTTTCTATGAGGCTACAATTACCTTGATACCCAAGCCACACAAAGACACAACTAAGAAAGAGAACTATAGACCAATTTCCCTCATGAACATTGATGCAAAAATACTCAATAAAATACTCGCAAACCGGATTCAAGAACACATCAGAAAAATCATCCACCATGATCAAGTAGGCTTCATCCCAGGAATGCAGGGATGGTTCAACATTAGAAAATCTATCAATGTAATCCACCATATTAACAATCTGCGAAAGAAAAACCACATGATCATCTCACTAGATGCTGAAAAAGCCTTTGACAAAATCCAGCACCCCTTCATGATAAAGGTCCTAGAGAGATCAGGGATAACAGGAATGTACCTGAATATAATAAAAGCAATATACAGTAAACCAACAGCTAACATCAAACTAAATGGAGAGAAACTCAAAGCAATTCCTCTAAAATCAGGAACAAGACAAGGCTGTCCACTCTCTCCATATCTCTTCAATATTGTACTTGAAGTTCTAGCTACAGCAATAAGACAACAAAAGGAGATAAAGGGGATACAAATAGGAAAAGAAGAAGTCAAACTTTCACTATTTGCAGATGATATGATAGTTTACATAAGTGACCCAAAAAACTCCGCAAGGTTACTCCTAGAGCTGATAAACACCTTCAGCAATGTGGCAGGATACAAGGTAAACTCAAAAAAATCAGTGGCTCTATTATATACAGATGATGAAGTGACTGAGAAAGAAATCAGAGAAACATCACCCTTTACAATAGCCAAAAACAGCATCAAATATCTGGGGATAATGTTAACCAAGGAAATTAAAGACCTGTATATCAAGAACTTTGTGTCTTTAAAGAAAGAAATCAAAGAAGATACCAGAAAATGGAAAGATCTCCCATGCTCTTGGATTGGTAGGATCAACATAATAAAAATGGCAATCTTGCCAAAAGCAGTCTACAGATTCAATGCAATCCCTATCAAAATTCCATCACAATTCTTCAAGGACCTGGAAAGAACATTAATCAACTTTATATGGAAAAACAAAAGGCCCAGGATAGCTAAAACATCCCTATACAATAAAGGAACTTCAGGAGGCATCACCATACCTGACTTCAAGCTCTATTATAGAGCTATAGTCCTGAAAACAGCTTGGTATTGGCACAAAAATAGACAGGTAGACCAATGGATCCGAATTGAAAGCTCTAATTTTAACCCACACACCTATGAACACTTGATTTTTGACAAAGAAGCTAAAACTGTACAATGGAAAAAAGAAAGCATCTTCAACAAATGGTGCTGGCATAACTGGGTACTGGTATGCAGAAGACTGCAGATAGATCCATGTTTATCGCCTTGTACAAAACTTAAGTCCAAATGGATCAAAGATCTCAACATAAATCCAGCCACACTGAAACTTTTAGAAGAGAAAGTGGGAGATACTCTTCAATGAGTTGGTACAGGAGACCACTTCCTAAACATAACACCAGTGGCACAGGCACTGAGATCGACAATTAACAAATGGGACCTTCTGAAACTAAAAAGCTTCTGTAAGGCAAAGGACACAGTCAAAAAGACAAAAAGGCAGGCCACAGAATGGGAAAAGATATTCACTAACCCTACATCTGACAGAGGGCTAATCTCCAAAATTTACAAAGAACTCAAGAAACAAGTCTCCAAAACACCAAAGGATCCAATTAAAAGCTGGGGTACAGAGCTAAATAGAGAATTCTCAGTAGAGGAGGCTAAAATGACCAAGAGACACTTAAGACAGTGCTCAACATCCTTAGCCATCAGGGAAATGCAAATCAAAACAACTCTGAGATACCATCTTACTCCTGTCAGAATGGCTAAAATCAAAAACACCGAAGACAATTTATGCTGGAGAGGATGTGGAGAGAGAGGAACACTCCTCCACTGCTGGTGGGAGTGCCGACTCATACAGCCTCTTTGGAAATCAGTATGGAGATTCCTCAGGAAAATGGGAATTAATCTACCACAAGACCCAGCAATTCCACTCTTAGGCATATATCCAAATGAGGCAAGTTCATACAACAAGGGCATCTGCTTCACTATGTTCATAGCAGCATTATTTGTAATAGCCAGAACCTGGAAGCAACCTGGATGCCCCTCAACTGAAGAGTGGATAGAGAAAATGTGGTACATTTACACAATGGAGTATTACTCAGCAGAAAAAAATAATGGAATCTTGAAATTCGCAGGGAAATGGATAGCACTGGAAGAAACCATCCTGAGTGAGGTAACCCAGTCACAAAAAGACAAACATGGAATGTACTCACTCATATATGGATTTTAGACATGGATCAGGATAGTGCCAGTCTGTTGTGGATTAATATTTTAACTGGGAAAAGATGTGTTACATTTGTTTACGCTGTATTTGTTTAATTATGTAAAGATGTGTAGCATTTGTTTCACTTTGCCTGCCTAAAGCATCTAACTGCTCTAATAAAGAACTGACCAGCCAATAACTGATCAGAGAAAAGATAGGCAGGGTTGGCATGCAGAGATAATAGGTAGGAGGAAAAATCTAGGCTCAAGAGAGAAGAGAGGAGAGAAGAATAGAGAGAGGGAGATGCCCAGTACCAGCCTGGTGGCTGACAGGCAACCAAATACAAGAAGCAGTGAAAGTAAGATATAAGAAGGAAAGAAAAGTAAATGTAACAGCAAAAAGAACCCTTTAAACAACTGTAATGTCATCACTATGGGGACTAAAGTGGGAGAAACAAAAGTTTGAGATCAACCTAACTATAAAGTGAGACCCTGTTTCTAAACTAAGAGTTTCAATCCCAATCAAAACCCTGATCTAGCTAGGCAGTGGTAGCACACACCTTTAATCCCGGCACTCAGGAGGCAGAGGCAGGGGGATTTCTGTGAATTCAGGGCCAGCCTGGTCTACAAGAGCTAGTTCCAGGACAGCCTCCAAAGCTACAGAGAAACCCTGTCTCGAACCCCCCCAACCAAAACAACAATAACAACAACAAAAAACCCTGATCTTATTCTTCACAGAGATAGAAAAAAAAATCCTAAAATGCATATGAAATCACAAATACCCCAGATAGGCATTAATAGTCCTGAGTAAAAAGAGCAATGCTGGAGGAATTAACATCCTGTACATCAAGATACACTAGAGCCACAATAATAGAATAGTTGTTTGGGTGCAAAAATAGATATATAGACCAATGGAACAAACTGAAGAGTTGAACATCAGAACTTAAAACTATAACCACCTAATATTTAACAAAGATGTCAAAACATACAATGAAGAAAAACAGCAAAGGGTTCTGGGAAAACTGGGTGTTCATATACAGAAGAATGACGTTAGACCCCTATCTATTACCTTGCACAAAAGTATCTCCAAATGAATTAAAGACCTAAATATGAAACCTAAAACACTGAAACTGCTAGAAGAAAACATAAGCAGTACCTACAGGATATAGGTACAAAAAAGAACTTTCTGAATAGGACTCCCTTTGCTTGGGAATTGAGACTAACAAATGACAAATGGAACTTCATAAAACTAAAAAACTTATATGTAACTGAAGAAACAATCTAGTGAAGAGGCAATTTAAATAATGGGAAAAAAGAAAAGAAAAGGAATGAAGGAAGGAAAGAAGAGAGAGAGAAAGGAAGGAAAATAAAGATTCCTCCTCATCAGTTATATTTTGTTTTAAACTTTTTTTCTTCTCTAAAATTATTTTAAAGCTTTATTCATTTAATTAAGTTCGTTAATTAATTGTGTGTGTGTCACAGTGGAGGTCAGAGAACAACTTGTGGGAGTCAGGTTTCCCCGTCTACCATGGGGGTCCTGGTGACTGAACTCAGGTGTACTGATTTGGTAGCAACCACCTCATGCTGAACCATTTCTCTAGATTCTGCATACACTTTAAAGATAAAATGAGAAAATATAGATATGCAAAGCGTGTTGGTTTCTATGTTCCCCATTAGGTTTACATGCTTGAATATTTGGTCCCCAGTTGGCAGCATTATTTGGGTAGGCTTAGAAGGTGTGGCCTTGCTGGAGGAAGTATGTCAGACCTGATCTTTTGATTCCTCTGGAGAAAATCTATACTTTTTGTTTCATTCTGGACAAATAAAATACAGGTGCTCTTTAGCTTGATAGGATCCTCATAAATGCATTGTTAATGGAAAGATCATAAGCAGAAAATATATTCAATCTACCTAGTCTATCAAATATGAAGGCAGATTAGAGAGACCCACCTGTTCCTGGAACACTGGGACAGGAGTTAAACATTGGAATACTATTAAGTCACTACTAATGTTAATGATAAGCCTTCATTGTACACATTTCTTTTTAAATCTTTATTTTTTTCTTCAAATAGGCTAAGCTGTTGGAGGGGAGGCAATCTGACTCCCTATTTGACAGCATTTAAACACTTTTCTGGTACCCTGGCTAACTAAACAGCTAGCATTCTAGATGTTGTGGGAAATAATTTTGAAGACACACTAGCAGCTTAATAGGACCACTATAAGCATGGCTGAAAATATATTCCATATAGTCTGCACCAGGCATAGAAGGCAATACTCTAAGTGAAGTAAACCTTGGTGAAATAAATGGTCCTGAAGCAATTTTTACTGTAGAAGGGGAACACTTTCCTATAGCCCAGAAGAAGGCTTTTTATTAGTAAAAACATAGCTCCTCACTTGCAAGAGGAATTTTCCTATTTTTGCTGCAAACATGGTGTTTTATTTGCATGAGGGACTGTGGCATGAGAAATTTATGATCTGTTATAACTCCTTGAGAACACTAAACAAAACAGCAAATGACTGAGAAGGCAGAAGCAGCAGCTTTATTACCTTGGAAATAGCTGCATGGCCCAGGATGTCATCAGGGGATGTGGGCTCCTCAATCCACAATGGCTCAGCCAGTTTTGACATCCACTCCACTGCCTCAGGCACATCCCAATGCTGGTTGGCATCCATCATCTGCAAGGACAGACCCTTCACTTCTCTGTAGGGCTGGAGCTCCAGAGAGGAGATGCAATCATTTAATGAAACCTACTGCTTAGGAAGACTCCTCTGACATTTTTTTTTTGCTAAATTCTAGCCCAGATCCAAAGTGCAAACACTGGGATTAGAGATCTGGCTTCAGATCTGAGCCATATATGAGGTAGGAGATGTGAACTGTTCACAGAACTGCTGTGATGTCTACAAGTGCCCTGTGCTGGGTTATGAGATGTGCTCAATGACTTTTGAGTTGGATCCACTGAGCTCTTTATTTTTAAGTGTATGAGTCTTTTGCCATAATGTACACCATGTACAATATGTGTCTGGTACCAGGAGAAGCCAGAAGAGGGCATCAGATCTACTGGAATTGGAGTTGCAGCTGGTTATGAGCTATCGTCTGGGTGCTGGGAACAGAATCTGAGTTCTCAGAAAAAAAATGCTCTTAATCACCAAACCATCTCTCTAGCTCCTTATTTTACTTATGTAGAGTGTGTATGTATGTATGTATATGCACATGTGTGGAAATCAGAGGACAATTTGTACAGGTCAGTTTTTTCGTTCTACGATACCGATCCTGGAGATTGAACTCAGGTTCTTAAACTGGACAGCAGATAGTTTTAACTGCTGAGTCATCTCACCAGTTCCCCTTTTGTCATCTTTTGAATCATACGTATAGTCAACACTGAGTTTGTTCAATAGTCCTTTATTTACTATTGCCCACCAAGTGTCTGACATATTAATAAATAACCACTAATGAAGCTCCCGTTCCACTAGGTACTTACCAAGTTTTGTTTGTTTGTTTGTTTTTTGGGTTTTTTTTTTTTTTTTGGTTTTTACGAGACAGGATTTCTCTGTATTGTTTTGGAGGCTATCGGTCCAGCCCGGCCTCGAACTCACAGAGATCCGCCTGCCTCTGCCTCCCGAGTGCTGGGATTAAAGGCGTGCGCAACCACCGCCCGGCCCAAGTTTTGTTCCACTTAATGTTTACTATAATCCTGTTTTACAAAGAAGAAAATTGGCTTATAGAGAAGTTAGTAAGTATCTCTAGACCAGTAAGCAAAGTTTGTGGTTAGTGCAAGTCCAGGTCTTACCTTTTAGACTGGCTTTCTCCTCACTATCATCTTACCCGGAAGCCAGGGGATTGTTGTGCAGAGCTTGAGACATGGCCCACCCCTCTGCCATCAACCTCATTAAACTTGGAGAAGACGGACAAGGACATGGGATTCTATAAATCCTTTAAGTGGTAAGAGTTTCCTCACAGGATACTCTGAGAACCACAGTATGGTAGACTGAAGATCAATTTTGTCATAAATTATTTGGATGAGGATGACTTCATGAAACAAAAGCAGTGCTATTTCATGTATAAATAATGAGACTTCTCAGCTTACATCAAGTATTCCAAAATTAATTTTAACTCACAATACAAGGCTTATTTGTTAAAATTTATAAAAATCTGATGGTAGCTTTCTTTTTTTGGGTAGCTCTTTTACAAAAAATATTTTACATATAATAAAAACTATGCCATAAAATATATAGAAATGATAAATCCTTATATTTATATCACCTAAAATCTCAATACTTCTTCAAAAAATGACTGCTTGGAACCTATCTCCTGATAAGCTGCTTAAGGGAGGTTAATGATTGACATACTTTAGTGGTATCAATGGAAGACTGCTGGTTCATGCTCACTCATAATTAGCAAAAAAGACAGTTTCTTGCACTGATCAGACTTAATTGGCTTTGTAGAATTAGAAAACTTAAACTTATCAGATCCCAAAGCTTTTCAAAAAAGAGTTCACCTATCTCAAGACCACCATATATTATGAATCTTTGCTTGAACAAAAGACTACAGGCTGGGAGTGAGTATTAGGGCTCAGTGGTAAAGTGTTTAACATGAACACATTCCTGAGTTAGATTCACAATACCACATTTGTTATTGGTGTGAGAAGATATTTACCAAAGTCTTCTCTGGTCTGATCATGTCCCTGAGGAGGCGGCATCTTTGTATGTCATCTTGCAGATCAGCCCCAACTTTTACTTTAAACCTATAAATTCACTTAGTTTAGGTAGGTCTCTAACTCAGCAAGAACATCTGAATTTTCTGTAGAAGTGACTCTCTGTGAATCATTCACAGACCACATTTTCTAGTAACCTCTGCTCTTCAGTCAAACTTTAAATAAGCCACTTAATAACGCTGCAAACTGCATTTCTTTATTCAGTTTCAGGGCAATGACTCTCAATTATCTGCTGACCCACAGTTAAGGAACCAGAAATAGAAGTTACATCTCTAATATAGCTGCCCCCCCCCAAAAAAACAGGTAAGAGCAAACAGGCCATAGTTCAAATAGAAGAGGTGAGTGGGGTTGACATGGCCCACACATTTGCTAGGTATTTGCACAATTTTGTCTCCAGTGAGCACAGTTAGAGGAAGGCTGCAGGACTGATCTATTTCTTATGGTTCAGAGTTCCAGGGAGGGAAAGGGACTTGGCCACACAGAGAGGAGAAACAGAGTATTGTCTGTAGTGTCCTGTAGAGGTCTCCTCCATGGCACATTTGTTCACTCACAAGGAGCCTACTGACCCCCAAACTGACTTAATATCCAATTATGTTCTTGAGACACAAGCATCTATAAATGTTCCTTTTGACTCTACTGGAGTATGCTTGGGCCAGTGTGGGTACTGTTATTGGAGGAGAGAATATCAACCCAAGGGACTGGCATCTAATTTTTCCCTTACAATCATCTGTTTAGTGAACACCAGAACTATTCTTGGGAGCCACAACGGCTTTAGGTTGCCAAAGCAAACAGAGCCCAAGTCTTCTCCTCAAAATACCCAATTTCTCTGTTTACTAAGAGGCCCATTAGGCTCATAAAAGCATCACATAGATAGAGGAGTCACCTTTCCTGGATAATTGTAGCTACTAAGCTCCTTCAAAGGAGACTCTCTTTATATCAAATGGAGACCATCACAGAAAATCACAACTGGACACAATGCAGAGAACAACAGATCATTGGGAGCCAAACCATAAAGGATAATATATATCAAAGTTCCTGCATCAATGTCTCAAGGAACATCTTGAAAGAAGAGACAGAGATTGTAAGAGGCAGAATACCAGAAAGTCTACTCTGAAAGTCTCTCCTAGAAAGTACTGCCTAAACAAGACCTGAACAATAGCATTATCAATAGACATTTTAACGTGGAAGGAGGAAAATTTTTGCAGAGTCCCACCCATAGACAAAGAACTACAAGCAGCAAATGACTAAGAGAATAAGTCCCTCCCCTTATTCTTATCTGTTGTAGAGTGGTGAGCCTTGAAATTATATACACCACTACCAGCAAAACATGGATTCAGCATGTTATATATGGACTCAGTAGTTATATATAATAGTGTACACACACACACACACACACACACACATATGTATCAATGATATTTAAAAAAACCAGACTATCAACTTAAGAGTAGAGGTTTGGGAGAGGGTAGTTGGTAGGAAAGGGAGGGAGAGAAAGTGATATAATTTTATTTCAATTAGAAATTGTGTTTTTTTCTCAAGACAAGGCTTCACTGTTAGAAACATATTTTTTAAAAAGTTGAACATACTCAGATACCCACTGACTTGTTTCCTCTTACTCAGAACAAGCACCCAGAGATAATTCTACTCCAGGTGGGAGTTTCAGCTATATGATTTGTAGTACTGGAGAATATTAGAGATAACTGGCCATAGCCTCTGTACACTTTTTGTGCTGAGGTCCATAGGTCTTTCTGGAGCCTTCTTGACACCTAGAGTTGATTCTTTAGCCTCTTCTTGGTTAGGGACAGGCTGGTCCTCATGGTACATCTGCTCCGGAGAAGGAGGACATATATTTCCAAGGCTAAGAAATCTGCTTAGGATCAACATTGAGTGCTTGTAAAGGGATGGTGGAGAAAGGCAAGAGTTTATTTTAATTCTATAGAATGCCAAAGCCCTTTCCTTGCTTTCTTCATGTTATCACTCTGTTTAACTAAAGCATTACAAGAGTTTAGTGTCTCTTAAATTTGGGTACAAAAATGAGGAGTAACTGAGGGTTTTTTTAAAATGAAGATCCTGTTGGTGTTCAGCAATGGAGCCACTATCTAATGTATATGAAGCTCTGGGTTCTCTCCCTTGCACCACAAAAAAATGGATTTGTATACTGGATAGGTGCTCTTCCATGTGTGATATTCTAGGATTCTAAGTAGATTCACGCCTTGTCTTTAGAGAGAATATGCCTGGTCCATGTTGAAATGTCTGTGTGCTAGCACACTAGTTTAGTTGCTTCAGGCATTATTGGTGACTTATCATCTTTGGCTCCTCTTCACATATTCAGCCTCTTAGTGTTGCTCAACAGGAAGGTCAAGTCTACCATTACATAGACAACTTACCTGGTCCAACTGTCTTTCAGTGCTGCTGCACAGAGCTGTGAGAAAAGGGGTGCATCTCTCATTACATATTGGTACAATGTACCACATTCCCCTGGCTTACTGGTACTTCAGAAGTTTCTGATCTTGGCTTCATAAGCATTATAGTTGTAGTACAAACCAAAGGAACAAGCATGTTTTATTTAAATATAGAAGCAGTTTAGCCAACAGTATCACTCTTGTTGTGAAGTAGCTTTCTTTCCTTATCTCTATGGGAAACGTTCCTTTAATTGTCATAAACATTCCTGAAAGGAGGATGTAGTATAGATGTCCTTTGTAAAGCCAGGATTTTCTGTGGCATCCACAGAACTACTACATGGAAGAGTAAAAGGCAGAAGTCTGCTTCTCCCTTTCTCCTTTTTCTTGACTCTATGTGAATGCAATATGGTAAGGAAGCAGGGCTAGGGGTGGAGATCAGTTATTAAGTACCTGCCTAGTATATGTGAGGCCCTGGGTTTAAAAAATACATAATACGGTAAAAAAGAATAATAAATGACCATGTACTAGCTGTGAAGGTAACACTTAGAGCTTCATCAGAATCTTCAAAACTGTTCCATAAGAGATGGGGTATTATTTTTCTACTTCACAGAAAGTAAACTGAGGCTCAGTGTGGTTAAGTGAATTGACAGTGTTATATGGTTATACATGCATAGAATCAAAACTAGGCTATCATCTTCCATAACCCAATATGAGACTTACTAAGTCGGAATGAATGCCTTTATTTTGTCTCATGTAAGAAGGCTAATGAGAAACAGTACATTCTCTCAGAAAGACAGTGACATAAGGAATATACATCTGGCGTTTACCCCCTTCTGCACTCTACCTTTCCATATCATTTCCTATCATGCAGCTCTTAAAACACAGAATCTCCTTAGTGATAGTATCTTTTGTATACCAATAATTTGGCCCTAAATTCAGTCCCTACATAGTTGGTTACCATTGGACCAAGCTATGACTAAAGAGTTGGAATTTTTAGTCCTACCCTGAAACCTCTGTAAAAGTCCAGAAGGACAGAGTCTAGGGAATTTCAGGGTTAGTGAGCATGTGGTAGTACCTGGAATCACACCAAGAAGTCTTGGGAGCTCCATACTGCCTCCTTACCTACTTTGCTCTGTGGATCCACTCTACCTGAATCTTCCTAAGTTACATTCTTTATAATACATGGGTTAATGAAAGTCAAGGGTTCTCTGAGCTATTCTAGTGAATAATGAAACTCAAGAGATTACACTGCAGAAACTTGTGTTCCAGCTGCTGTAGGTCAGAAACTCAGGTGACAATCTGGACTTGCTCAATTGGTATGTAAAACAGATTAGTCCTCGGAGACAGTTATATTACAGGACACCCAGTTGTTCAAAGAGACTGGTCAGTGTGTGTGTGTGTGTGTGTGTGTGTGTGTGTGTGTGTGTGTGTTTGTGTATTTCCACTTATCTGATTATCAGAGCCAGGGTTTCTCTGTATTGTTTTGGAGGCTGTCCTGGAACTCACTCTGTAGACCAGGGTGGCTTCAAACTCACAGAGATCCGCCTACCTCTGCCTCCTGAGTGCTGGGATTAAAGGCGTGCGCCACCAATGCCTGGCACACACAATCTTTTAAAACAAAACAAAATACATTCTTTACCCATTTGAGCTGCCCATCACTTGTGAGCTGTCTGTTGAAGCCTCTGAAGTCACCAACAATGTCACTGAGAACCTTGTGAAGCACGTGGTGGGCAAGAGTATTCACAGCACAGACAACTATCAAAATAGAATCAATTCTTGTTCGATATGCAGTCAGGAAATTATAACATTAAAATACCACAAATGGATGTGGACATTTTATGAAATAGTTAACATATGTTAAAAACCCATAAACTTCCTAATATTCTTCAAAAATGTGTCACTGCCTACTATAACTAAGAACTAGACACAACTACAACAATTAGGAGTCCATGTACTCAGTACAGCAAGTGAAAAGTAAAATCAGAGACTTGCAAGTGTAGATACTGTTCCCAAATTATTTTCCTATTCACTGGGAAATGTGTTAGCCAAGGAGATTCAAAGCCAACCCTTCCTAATTCATTGTTTTCAAAGGATAAGAATAATCTGACTTACAGAACTATAAACTTAATTTGAAATGTTGGCAAATAAAGACACTTGATTCACAACATCATACACTCTGAAGATGAATTTATTTGCAAGTAGCATACTTACATCAAATGTTAAAATACATGAAAATACCATCATCGCGTTAAATTTCTTTTCAGTGACTTATTTTTCATATGCATTTGAAGGTTAAACATTATTTGGATTAGCATCACCATCACTTATTTAGTTTTGGTGCTTTAAAAGGCTTCATTGTGCCTGGCATGATTCTGTTTCTGCATAACTTTTCTCAGTAGGCAGTTTCTACATCCAACTTCTCTCACACCAAAGTGCTTGTCTCCATCTCATGGAAGACTCAGTAGACATGGACATGAGCCTCAGAACTACCTTTTCAGTGTGAATAAAGGCTGATACAGATTATCACTGAAGGGGGATAATGATGAGAACGAACACCAGTTATCTCTAAGAACTGTTAGTTTAGGGACAGGAGCAAAAGATGAATTACACAATATAGAAGCAATGAACTATGAAGGCAATCCAATTTAAGTAACACTGGAAACTTTGAAAATGTATGTACAACCAACTGTTTCCCTTGGGGGCACTGAAATTATATGACCTGTGGTCTTAAGGTTGAAGTGTAGTTCAGAACCTGTGCACATTAGTGGCCAGCACCTAGTAGCTGTAGAAGAAGATGCAGTCAGAAGATGAATATTAGGATATAAACCTCTTAAATATGTCTAGAAAACGATTTTCTCCTGGAGGTAGTAACAAGCAAGGTTCCACAGAAAAAAGTAAAACTTGATGAAGAGGATGAGGATGAGGATGAGGAAACTGAAGAAGAAATTCCAGTGAAAAAAATCTGTCAAAGATACCCCCAAAATGTACAGAAATTAAACCAAGATGAAAAAAACTTAAAACCATCAACACCAAGATCAAAAGGTCAAGAGTAATTAAAAACAAAAAGGACAGGAAAAAAAACTCCTAAAACACCAAAAGGACCTGTTCTGTAGAACACATTAAAGCAAAACTGCAAGCAAGTATAGAAAAAGGTGTTTCTAATTCAAAAATGGAAACCAAGTTCATTAAACTGTGTGAATAATGGCTTCTGGATAACTGACCAGTAGGCTATTCAAGATCTCTGATCGTGGAGGAAGTCTCTTTAAGAAAATGGTTTAAGCAGTTTGAAATATCCCATCTTACTTCATTTCTGTAACAGTTGATATACGGCTATCTTTTTTATAATGCAAAGTGATAACTTCCCTACTGTGTTTGATAAATGTTGTTCAGGTTCCATTGCCAAGAATGTGTTGTCTAAAATGCCTATTTAGTTTTCAAAGATGTAACTCTACCCTGTACTTGGTTTTAAGTATATATAGAATGTTATGATAGGACATAATAGTGCTGGTCAGATGTGGAAATGGAAGAGAGACAAAAATATACACGTGAGATAAACTCAGTATTTTAATAAAATTTAAAAAAGGCTTCATTGTGTTATTTGAAGAGGCCCTTGAGGGAGCTCATGTTAGGATATTTGTCTCATATGTGTAAGGATGGTCTTTCCAGATTTGTTCTTTTTATGACCAATTTAGTTCAAGTGTCAAAGACTAAAATAACCAAGTCATTCATTTGCCCCAAAGCAATTAATTTATTACAAAATATTTTGGTAAATTTGTTTGATGTTGTAGTGATTCCATACTAAACTCTTAGGTAATTTAATAAGATAGTAATAGGTGTACAGTTTTACTGTATTCCAGAGAAAGACATTTTGAAAGCAGCACCATGTCTGAGTGACATGGCTTTCCAGTGACTGCACACTTGATAATGGATGTAGCATTTAGGGCTGAACCAACCATTCTGGGTTCTCTAGAGCTTTGTTAATGGAATACACAATCATTCTAGTGGGGATATTTATGCCATAAAACTGAAAGAAGACAGTATCTTCCTCATTTCTTGAAAGTTGTTGTTCTTGGCTTTAAACAAAAATATAGAGTAAGTTACTGACTCACAGTGAGGTATATTCTTATCTACATCAAATTCTGGCCTCATGTCTTTGATTGTTGCTATAAATCACTGGGTAAAGCAGTCTATGATCACTACCACAATAGCAAATTCATCTAAAAAAAAAGGTTTGAATATGTTAATAAAAGATGCAGGTTACAATAAGGATTGAACAAGAGTTTTGCATAAGGCTAAGACAATTTATTATTGTCATCATTATTCATGTTATAAAGTAATTACTGTGCCAAGCACATTCTAAGAGCTTTGTTATTCATTTGATCTTCACAGTGGTAGTATAAAATAGGTGCTATTGTTTTAGATGATGAACAATGTGAGTTTTAAAGAGGTTTAGTGATCTGCACAAGGACACAGTATGAGTAACTTATGAAAGCAGACTGTAAGTTCTCATATATTCAGTGCAGGGGTGGGAAGTAGGGTAGGAGGTGTGCATAATAGATGAGAGGTCTGAGTTGGCACCAAAGTCCAGTGCAGGGTGGTGTGATACTCAGTGCAGCCTGTGCATCAGAAACAGAGGAACAGGATGTCTGCTGTGAGGTTGCATCTCCCAGAAATATCAGGGAGGCTACACCCATGAAGTCTCAATGCTGAACTGTTTGGACTGTTAGAGAACAATTAGTTATTTGTACACTGAAAAATGGTGTAATGTCTCTCTGAAGAGACTACCTTAGGAGGTCTTTTAAGACTGCATTAGGTGCTGGATATGGTGTTGAATGCCTGAAATCCCAGTATTTGGAAGGTAGAGGCAAGGAGCATCAGGAGTTTAAAGTAATCCTCATATGTATTGTAGCATGAATTCTAATTGATCTTAAAAATAAAAACCCAGATTCAAATATGGGGTGTGGAGAGCTGAATGATCAGAGAAGCAAAGCAGCCAGCCGCTAGCTCTTACCTCTACCTCAGACTTAAGGGGCGATTCTGTCCTCAGATTGCCTCCTCAGACTGCTTCAGGCTCACTGCTGCCTAGACTGCTGCTCCTACTGCCCTGAGCTCCTGTTTCCTCCCACCATATATTCCTCTCTGCCCAGCCATATCCCCTTCTCTCTCCACCTCCTAAATGCTGGGATTAAAGGCATGTCACTCCAGGTGCTAGGATCACCTTTGTGTGAGCTATATTTCTCTTTTAGACTGTGTAGCTTAGGGTGGCCTTGAACTAATAGAGATTCATCTACCTCTGCCTACTATTGCTGGTATTAAAGGTTGTAATGAGCATTTTTCCTGCCAGCCTGGTGTCAGAGCCACATCAACCCCAAATAACACACAGAGACTCTATTAGTTACAATGCTGTTGGCCAATATCCAGGGATTCTCACTGATTAGTTCTGTCTACTACTATATTTCTATAAGGTGTTATCTTACTGAAGACACCAGCCTCATGTGTCCTCTCTTCCTGTGATCACATGGTGACTCGACTCTTGACTACATTTCCCAGAATCCTCCTTGACTCCTAGTCCCACCTATCTTGATTCCCTACTGGCCAACAGTGCTTTATTTATCAACCAATAAGACAAACATATACACAGAAGGACTCTCCCCATCAAAATGTGTGTACCACCACTGCCTGGCCTCTATGGCTAACTAGTTCGGCTAGTTAGCCATCTGATCTTCAAGAAAGCTGTATTTGTTAGATTATATAAAAAAACCACCACAATATATGGCAAAGGACTACATGATACTCTTTCAAAAACATAGCACAACAAGCCTTGATTGGTTGCATGAGAATGGGTTGATAGAAACTAGGTATCTCCCTTGGCTTCTCTCATGCATATGTTTCTTTCATATTTGACTGCTTCCCTCTTTCTTATTCTCTATCATGATTACAATTCAGCACCAGGTTCTCACCAGAAGTTGAGCAAAGGCTGATACCATAGTTTTTGACTTTCAGCTCTGTAAACTACATGAATCTAATTTCTTCATAAATTATACAGCTTCAGTGATCTTGTTACAGCAACATAAAACAGAGTAAGACCATCACAGTGATGGTGAAGAAGTTAATGGAAAGGCTGGCATGTATTCAAGAGTTTGTAGTAATTTAACTAATAATATGGTAGTTTGAATAAGAATGGCTCCTATAGGCTCATATATTTACCTAGTTACCACTTGGTAAATTGTTTAGGATTTAGGTGTCTACTTGGAGGAGGTGTGTCACTGGGTCACTAAGGGTGAGCGTTAAGGTTTCAAAAGCCCACACCAAGCTGAGTCTGTCTCTGTCTGTCTGTTTCTCTCTCTCTCTCTCTCTCTCTCTCTCTCTCTCTCTCTCTCTATCTGCTTCTCTCTCTCTGCTGAAACTTTTGGATTAGATGTGAGCACCGAGCTACTGTTCCAGTAACATGCCTGCCTATCTCCTTGCTCCTTGCCATAATGATCATGGACTAGTCCTCTGAAACTGTAAGCAAGCCCCCAATTAAATGCTTTCTTTATAAGTCACCTTGATCATAGTGTCTCTTCATTGCTATGAAGAGTAACTATAGAACAGTAACCAAGACAGTACCAATCCTGGTTTAGAACAACCATTGGATTTCTTGAAGTGGAAATTAAAGAGATGATGCTGAAAGGAAAATTCCAAGAATTAAAGTCTCCTTGGATTACAGGATTTCATTGCTTTTTCAAGTAATAAGAAATAGAAATCTTCCATTAAAGCCTTAGGAGAGGGTCAAAAGGACAAGATGAGCCATATATAACTCAAAGTTTCTGAGTCTTTGTGACTGACAGCAAGATCATAGAGGATCAGAAGGAAGTGTACATATAGGGAGTTGGGATTGGGAGATAGAAGGTGATGGCATCTGATTTAGATGGTGTTAAGCATGAAGACAGAAAATGAAGTTGAAAGAAAATGTCTAGACATCAACTAGATCTGAGGTGAGAAGGTAGATCCAGAAATAGAATCAGGAAGACTTTGGCATAAAGATAGGTTAAGAAGTTGAAAACATGGAATAGTGTCATAGTGGAAGTATGGAGTGAGGTGGGAAAGCCTTGAAAAGGAAAGAAGGGGTCAGCACAGGAAGAAGGAAGAGCCAGAGACAAGAATTGTGGTGATACATTATTTATGATTTATTAAAGCTTGCCTGAGGATTCAGAAAGCAAAGTCAGCCACGAGTCATAGAAGTCAGGCACACACCTTTAATC